AGAAAATGTGTTATTTTCAGATTGAAATTGCTGTTTATTAATGGCGGCTAAAAGTGGAGCAAGACGAAAGTTGGCTCTTGTAATTGGTATTGGTAAATATGAACATCGTGACGAATTACAGAATCCAGAAAATGATGCGAATGATATATCATCTACTCTGGACAGTATTGGTTTCATTGTAACAAAAAAACTACATCTTAAATGTGCTGAGATGAAACATGTTATTATTGATTTCGAACAATCAATAGAGCCTGGCGACATGGTCCTATTTTATTTTGCTGGACATGGCATACAATGGCAAGTATGTGCTAAAGATTTACCATTAAAAGTTAGTTCAATTTTCTATATATGTTTTATTTGTGGAACTTGTAGGATCAAAACTACTTGATACCAAGTGATATTCCCAGTTCGAATGGTACAGCTTTAAGAAAAAGCACTATCAATGCACAAGATATTCTTGACACTTTAAGTGATTGCGATCCATATGTAACAATATTCCTCTTAGATTGCTGTAGAAACTATCAGTTACGCAATCTTGAAGCTGACGCACGTAATCTCGAGAGAAATGATCCAAAATCAGTGGGTCTCAAAGCCATGCACAAGGCTGGGTCATTGATAGCGTTTGCTTGTGCGCCTGGAACTATAGCAATTGAAGGACAAGGACAAAGAAACGGCTTATTCACAAAGCATCTTTTGGACAATATTAAAAAAAAGAATGAAGACATACGAATGATATTAAGTGATGTTACCAAAGGAGTAATAAATGATTCGAAATCAAAACAAATTCCATTTGTGAGTGCTTCTCTATCAGAGAGGGATATATACTTATGCAGTGGCAACCCCAATCAACCACGTAGATCCGGTAAATACGCTAATGACTTCTACTGTTGTTGTTTACTAGAAATTCAAATATTATCATAACAATTGTGCGTGTCAAGTGTATTGATTTCTAAATATTTAGAGAAAAAGATTGTTATCATCTGAATTGTTCTTCGACTTAACATGAGTCGAATGGTATAGATAAGGTCATTGAAATAAAAAGAATCAGTAATATAGTGTAACTCTAAAAGAATATGTGTACTTAGTCCTCTGAGCGAGCACCATCGCATTTTGAAATAATGATAGTATATCGGCAGCATTTTGAGCATTATCACTAGTTGATTAGCGATTATGTTAAATTGAAAATAACCAGTCAGAAATTTTAATACGTCCAAAAGAATACTACGGAGCAAATCAAGCTTCAAATGAGTTAAGATTTTTATATTGGAACTAGACCAGCCAGTCACGAGTTTGGTCTAGTTGAAGTTTTCAAGCCAACTGAATTTCATCGGTTTTTCATTCTTTTTCAGATATTTTCAGTTGCCTATAGCGTTCATTTCTAATCATTTTCAAATTTTTAGTGATCAAAAGATAAGAGCTTGACAGTGTTTAACTGACCAATTTTCAGCTATTGTTAAAATCCCAGCTCTGAAATATGTCTTGAACACTTTTTCGTCGTAAGACGAGAGGCTCGGATCATGTCTAATAACTTTATGCTCATGGAAAGCAAACCAGACATTATATTTTAATTTAGATATAAATTAATGATTTTTGGTCCTGAAATGTTGAGCTCATGGCTCTGAATTCTTTCTAACCAATTCTCACAAAAGTTCAATGCCTAGTAGTTTTCATTTTATCATGTTTTTGAAAAATATGAGAAGGGATTCCGCTCTACTGTCCAGGTTCTGTCAACTACTAACGTCATATTACTATGATATTATTGAAATGTTAATAAACCTAAACTAGAAAGTTAAATGAAGGCAAACTTACGTTTTAACTCAACTTCTCTTTCTGTTGCTAATAACGTCATTTGAAGTACTGAAATACGTTTCGGCTTTATCAAATATTTAATTTTAATAAGAATAAATCAAACTTAGTTATTCGAAAGAGGTTTTCGTTCGTTTTTAATGCTGCTAACGCATATTAAACGTACCAGGCCGAAATGGGAATTGCTAGTTTTATAATGTTCAACAGTAATATGAGTTGTACATTGTACATCTTTGTAAAATTCAAAGAACAGACTTTTTCGAAAAAATGAATTGATTTACTCACGCACTAAAAGGATTGATTTTTTTGTCAATAAAGTCAGAATTTCCAAGCGGTTGGTTCGATTCAGTCGAAAAAATACTTCAATAATTTCAAGTATGATCTGGAGTTTAATTGACATTTAATCGAAACTGCTGCATGTATGCACGAACGATAAAAAAAGCCAGTCACACAAATGTTGTTTTCAGACATAGAAAAGAAGAATTGACTTTGATTTCATTTTTCCTTGTTAGAAATGTTCAGAGAAATTCACTAAGTGAACATTATTGAACTTTCTCATCGTTATACAATAAATTTAAATGTATGTGAACCTTCTGACTGTACGTCAAGCATTTTAGGCGATTACAGTAGATTGGTCAATATCTTTTCGAACGCCAAACATTGTCTTTAGAATGATCTACTATTACAAAAACTTTTACTATCTATAGTTGAAAAGAGTATTAGAGTTGAGGAGTTTAAATTTTCTTGAGTTTCTCTACACTACTATTGAATTTGTGAGTGATACTGGAAATACTCTGTTTTTAAATGACGCTCTTTAATACAGACAACATTCTCATTCAAGATCAGATCATCTATTCATATCGACAGATGCTAGTATATATTTTTGAATTTTAGAACAACCGCAAAACTTTTTACAAATATCGAACAAGGACATAAAACTGGACGAGGAAATTGGTCGTGGAGCGTTTGGAATAGTTTATCAAGCTCAATGGTTAAGTCGACATCACACAGTAGCTGTCAAAAAGTTACATCTTACCCAGTTGGACAAACAAGCTGAAAAAGATTTTTTCAAAGAACTTTTGTTAATGCATAGTATTCATTATCCTCACATTGTCACTTTCTATGGTGCATGTACAGAGCATGGAAAGTATGCATTGGTAATGGAATACATGTCGTTAGGATCGTTATACAAGATTCTACACAAAGACAAAGAAGCACTAAATTGGTCTCAAAGATTATCCATCGCTTTACAAACAGCTAAAGGCATCAATTATCTACATAAGCTAGAACCACCCATTTTACATCGTGATATCAAGTCGTTGAATTTTTTGTTAGAGATATCACATGACGGTTACATTGTGAAAGTGTGTGATTTTGGTTTGGCTCAAACACGAAATGAAACAACACGGCAAACTCGTTTCACTCAAGTGTTACCTTGTACATTGCAATGGACTGCTCCAGAAATACTTCTGTTAGAAGACTATGTAGATAAAAGTGATATTTATAGTTTGGGAGTCGTATATTGGGAACTCGCTAGCAGCAAAATACCCTATGATGGTCATCAAGACGGTGTCATTCGTGCATTCGTTCTTGCTGGTGACCGTTTAAAGATACCAGAAAGTACACCATCTATTTTTTGTGAGCTTATAAAGAAATGTTGGGCGCAAAATCCAAATGATAGACCGAATTGCTCTTATTTGATCCAAGTCATCGAAGAATATATTACAAATCAAAGTAATTTCTTTTTGTTGCGCTGCTTCGATGGAGTGAGATGAATTGATATTAAGTGCGCAGTATTAGCAGAACTAGATGGGCTGTTTCCTAATATTTGATTACGGGAGATTTGCCGAAGTGCTTGAATGAAACAATAAACGAAACAGACTATTAGTATCAAGCGTGAAAGCTGAATTGAATATTTGCTTTATTGTTTAGGTATTCAACTTCTCAACGTTGCTTTTAATTCTTACTAAAACTTGTTAGTGCCTTCAGCAAGATAGGTGCCCCGTGTAATTACCTTCGTGAAATATTTGCATAGTTGAATTCATAGTTTAAGTAACTCCATGCTTGAATTTTAACTTTTTGGGTTTCATATTTTAAGTCTCGACATGAGTAAAGAGAAGGGCCAAACATAAATCATGCATACGAGCTTTAAAGTTCTCTTGGATTCAAGCATTAGGTTTGAAGTTTCAATTCAACTTTTAATTGTCAGACACACTCATGTTTCTTTGTATATGAGTGTCACAGACATATAAACGATTGAATGAAAATTGAATTTATTTTCAATTTCAAGCTTCACATTACGGATTTCGTCTTCTAATAGATATCTAATTAATCAGATTAGAGCACAACTATAGATTGTGAATAATACAGTTTTGTCTCTACAGAGCTTACTTTGCTTCTGTTTTCATTGACATCATTTTTTTGTGATACAAAGATAAGGGTAAACGAGAAAGCAAGAATATGTATGAATTGCTTAGAATGTTCCAAGGAAAGAAAAACTGAAATTTCAATAGCGATTGATTGTTTTTCGTCTTGTTTTCGTTTATAGATTGATCCATTTCAAAATATATTTCAGAGGATGTACAATTTCAATTGTGTTGTATTGTTCTTTAATATGGTTTTTTAAAGTCAACTCATAGATAAAATCTAATATATGATCAACAACCACTTTGTGTTTGATAAAACCCTTGTATTTCTTCTTAGTCTCACTTTCAAAATTATCTAGAAATAATTGATTCTGATGAAGTATCGAAAACTAATGCCGACGCGGCACTTCAACGTGATTGTACGTTTATGAGTGATGATAACACTTAGACGTACATCTACACCTACACCCTTTCTGAAGATTTACTCATGCTCAGCATTTGCTACCTATCATCATGAAACTTGTGCATGAAATGAAAATGCTACTATTGGAACGAATAAGTTGACAATGAGGCGTGATGCAGAAGAAAAAACACACCATAAGAGAGCTTTCGCCATAGTTTACGCCTACTAATGGAACTTTTTTCCCTTTCCCTGCTTATATTATCAGGCACTGTTCTTCCTCTTATTATCCTGAACTGTGTTACTAATGGGAAATGCAAGACGACGATAGAAACCAACCACATGTTATCTGTGCTGTTCCTCTTTATTAAATGTTTGATTTATTTAAATATGCAAATAGCGATCGACAATGTCTTATAGAACGGTTTAATTATTTCACGTTTTTGGAAAAATCAATCGTGTGTCATTCACTCTACAAACCAGAACTATTATTTCGTAATGGACAAAAGAACATTTTCTCAGTAATTAGTTGTAGAGATCGACCATCAGGATCAATAACACTGTCAAATACTAAGAAGTAGTCTATACTTTGGTAAATGATATTATAGTTGTATTATAGAACTAGGAAAGACTAGAAGCTTGGATAAAAAGAGTAATACGGGTCTCTGTAACGAAGACATGGATGACTTGTTTTTGGAAAACTTCGAACTACATAGACCAAATCCCTGTTCATTTAAAGTTCATCATGAAATCGGCAGAGGTGCAGTCGAGTTTGAGTTAGTCTTGCTAGCAATAGACAGTGGAAAATGTGCAGAT